GAAACCCTCTGAAACTCACATTAGAATCGCCAAGAATTGTCAATTAGGGTTACTCGATGAGGTTTACAACTGCTACTACTTCTGCGAACACAGATGCTAACAACCACCTATATAGCTATATAAAATACACCATTAGCTTCTCTTCTAAGACTAGGGGTTTGGCCAAAAGTCAATGCAAGTCAAAAATCAAAGTTGAACCTCCACGTCGTGGCTATCCTTGGCAACGTCCTGGCCTTCAATTGACAAGACAGTCGCGTTTTCCCCAGTCACCATGTCATGGCAACCTACGCCACACAGTGGGAACTGGATCCAAAACGTCTTAACGAGTTAAATCGAATCCTCTAATACCAGAGGTTCAAAATTCAAAATTGATCATTTCTAATACCTAAGTGGATAAAGTTTACATCTTTATACCTTTGAGACCCACCAAGAGGTCTAGATCTCAAGTCTTAGATCCAAGAAGGCTAAAAATAGCAATAACTTAATCAAGAAACACCTAATCCCTTAAGTCTCAAGCCTATCTGCTCCAGAAGAACTTATAACACTAAAACAATCCTAAAGTTTGATGCTTTTTAGACTTGCATGTCCAATGCAAGTCTTGGACTCAACTTAGGTAAAAAAAATGGGATTTTATAACCAAGATCTCATGCATGGCTCATACAAACCACCAAACTTCTGATCCAAACCATAAACTACTTCAAATGATCCAGAGAATCATAAAGTTGCAACCTTTATGAAGTCTCACCGTCTTATTCATTAAGATCAACAAGAAAGTGGGACAAAATGCAAGATCTAGCACTCTATAATCAAAAAGGTGAAACCTTAAACACTTAGAAGGGTCCAAATCTGAGCTAGGTAGGGAGATAGGGGCTCCCTTGCTGATCCTTGGCTTACTTCTTCTTGCTTCTTCCTTCAAGACCTCTCAAACACCCAAGCAAGCTTCAATAATGGAGGAAAAGAGTTAGGTTTTTCTATTGGATAAAAGAGAGTGGTGGAGGCTCAAGGTGAGCATACCCTAACCTCTTCATTCCTTTAAATAGGTGTAAAACCCAAAAAATTAGGGTTTAAGGCATCAGCGGCAGCCACGTCGTGGCGAGTCAAAAAGGCCTGCGACTGGAAAATGCATCGCCACGTCATGGTCATCCTTCCCATGTCGTGGCGACTCACCAAACTTCAAATCTTAAATTAAATAAAACGTACCTCAAAACCGGATGTTACATGAAAGCTTTTTGAGAGATTATGTTAAGAATAAACCTCACAAATTTTACAGTTTTGTAGCAACCACTTTTATTATATTGACTTTTTTATTAGATTTGTATGTTGTACATGAACTTATTTTGTTCAATATTTCTCTATCATGAGTAGATTAGATTTATCATTCAAAAAAAAAATCCTTCAAAGCTTTATTTTATTTTTTACTAATTAATTTGTTTAATTTTAATCCCCAGTATTAATTTCATGTATTGTAATACATTGATTTTATTTAATGTTATTGTTAAATACTTAAAAAAAATACTAAAAATAACAAATTAAATGAAGAACTTTATCATACATTTCACTGAAATATTGATAAATTAGTTCATTAATTTTTTTTAAAGTGATAATATGATCTAGAGGAACCAAATATGCTCTTATCTTTTGTCTTGATCTAGACAAATGTAAATATCTAAAGAATAGACTAAGAGATAAATAATGCATTTCACATGTCATTATTATATATAAAATAAAGAAAAATCAAAACAATAGACTAAGAGATAATTAATGTCTTTCACACACACACACACACATATATATAATAAAGATGGGTAGTAACAAAAAGGAGGTGGATATTTAAGTTCTCTATGATTTAACTTAATATGTTTTTGCATCATACAATTAATTGACAAGGCCTTCCCAAACATATTTTGGTCTCCATGTAAAACTAAAATAGAGGCCCTTCGTTTACAAGAAATGTGTATGACCACTAAATTTAATTTAAATTTAATAAATAATTTATTATTAAGATTTGAACCACATACTTAAGTTATTTTTCAGACCATACTACAAATTTATTATGATTATATGAAAAAATTTGTATATAAGCTAATTCCGAAAAGTTTAAATAAAATTTTAAAAAACAAATGTCAATGATAATCTTGAAAAGTTTAATATATGTTGTGTAATGCATTTATTTCAATAAATTTCTTATATAAAACATAATGGAAACCATGGCAAAATAAGAAAAAACCTGTAAAATGCAGGGGGAAAAGATGTAAATTATCATTTGAAATATCTTATATAATATATAAAGGAAACCATGGTAAAATATAAAACAACCTAGAAAGTTCAGGGGAAAGAGATGTAAATTATCATTTGAAATGTGATACTAATAAAACACTAACAAGTAAATACTCATATACAACACTAATAAAACACTAACAAGTAAAAATCTTCTACCCTAATTAAACAAAATTATTTTTGCCAAATGGCAACTTGTAATTAACTATGCCGCATGTTAATCTCTAGGCATTTTAGACTTATTTTTTTTCCACTTGTCAATTTCTTATTTTTTTTTTTCCTTTTTCATTAAATTGCCACATCATTATATTAATTAAGCCACATCATTATAATAATTAATTCTAATGATAATGACAACTCAAAATCCGTTCATTCCTTCTCTATATCACTTAATGTCGGGCGCTATTTACAGGATGTACACTGTATAATTAAAATGATTGATATGATTTGTTAAAATCAATGTAGTATTAGATGAATAATTTCCTAAGCAATAATTATTCCAATCATCATTGGACATCCTAGTGTATTTGTTTTGGAATGAAATCGTTCCTCATAACATATGATCCAATGTTTTGTTAATTGTTTGTTCTTTCTCCAACTTCAATTCATCGATTAATTTGTGTCTATTGCATAATCATGTAATACTCTCCTCCTATTGTTACGAAATATAAACTTGGAAATGTATTTGTTTTCTCTGAAGTCTGTGTCACCAATGCATTATACAATGCAAAATTTATACCTGGAAATATGTTGTTTTCTCTAAAATCTGTGTTTTCTAGATACTGTGTAGAATCAAATCGATTTGGTTGTAAACATTTTATATTCTAGAAAGTGTATTGCTTTCTCTTTCATTTAACAAAATAATGACAGGGGCAAAATAACTTGAGATCAAACTATAAACTGCATCTATTTTAAGTGCATGAGGGCATAATCACTACAAATAAAATGACATTTAGTGGCATACACTTTTAATGACAAATCTTTTTTATGCCACTATAACATGTTTTTAATGGCATACTTTATATGCCACTGTAAAATTAATAGATTTAATGATATTTAATAATATATGTCACTAATATTAGTATTCATTAGTGGCATAAATATATTAAAATGCCACTAAAAACTCTATATTTTACGACATATTTTTTTATTTCCACTAAAGTTCTATTATGTGTTTTACCAATTTGGTTTTGTGCCACTAAAAAGTTGAATCCCCCCTTATTGCCCTCTATGAAAGGAATCAATGTTTATTGCATATCTCCCTATCTAATAAACAAAACCAACTGGACACGTGTCATTACAATCATCCATTTTTCGCCCTATGTTAAATTACTCTATTACCCCTTCAGCATCCTTTCACATATCATCATCATCATTAGGTAATAGATAAAATAGGTAATTAGGTATGGAATTGAATTAGATTAGATTATATTATATATGGAATATATATATGGAATATATGGAATATGGAATTTCACGTAGCATTACAAATTGAATATGGATGGAAATAATGATATTGTATAGAAATCTTTGGAATATTGAATCTGCTGTATACATTAAATCAATTCCGTTGCATGCCCGATTAAGAGCATCTAAAAATGGTATGCATATCAATCAATTATTATGCGCATAACATACTATATCAATCATATTCCGCTTCAATTACATAATTCAATCCCTACGACCGTCTCTGCATCTCAATTCTGCTTCTTAATTTCGAATCTTCAATCAGCAACTTCAATCCTTCGGTGAGTTTCTCATGATTAAGTATCATTGCTTCTCAATGTTTGTGTTAATCGTATAATTGAAATTTTTTTTCTTCTTCTGCGACTTCAATTTTGCTTCTCATTGAATTTGTTAATCAAGGTTTGTATTTATCTTTGATTCAGAAGTTGTTTATTAATTATTTTCGTCTGATTTATCAAACCGTTTATATAATAAACAAAAAAGTATCAATTTCTTTTTGAAGTTCCTGTTACACTATATCCCATTTTTAGTAATTTATTCTCAAAGAACAATGCTATAATCTGTAATTTATCATCTTTTAGTTTAATTTTCTGGGCAAGGATGTATTCATTTTAAAATGGTATATTGGTGCATGCATTCTTGGGAATGTGCTTTGATATTATTTGAGGTATTCTATTAAAAAAGATTCTAATCAAGCTGTCAAATGAGATTTCTCATAATGTTGAACACGCAACAGAATAAACAATGCATCAGATGTCAATTTTGCCCTTTGTCAATTCTTTTGATGAGCTCTAAAATTTCAATCATTTAAATTCCATAAATTAAGACTACAATTTCATCATTTTATGACCCCCATTTGCGAAGTTGAGTATTTATTTCAAAAAATGCGAAACTCCAGGGACAATATTTGAAAATTTCTGTTTTCTTCCCCAATTCGCATTCTACTGTGAAATACTTCGCATCTTCATTCTTACACCCTTCGCATCCCTTCGCATTAATCACCTTCGCATTCTACTGTCAATTCTTTTGTATCTCTTTACAAATTCTGCAATTTCATCATTTTATGACCCCCATTTGCGAAGTTGAGTATTTATTTCCGAAAATGCGAAACTCCAGGGATAATATTTGAAAATTTCTGTTTTCTTCCCCAATTCGCATTCTACTGTGAAATACTTCGCATCTTCATTCTTACACCCTTCGCATCCCTTCGCATTAATCACCTTCGCATTTTAACCTAATTAATCAAATGCGAACCACAAAATTTTCATTCCAGATGCGAACACAGTTTACTTCTTGAACTCTAAACTTGCGAAATCAAAACTTTCTGTTTTATGGCTGTTTATAGCATTTAACTTTTATTTTCTATCAAATTTAGCATCTTACTTGTGTACTTTTCTGTTATAGTGACAATGGCAGAAACAAAGATCACTTTCATTAGAGACTTGGACAATATGAATGATGATTACACAGTAAAAGTGTCTATTATCCGGCTGTGGAAATCGCTTTCAGATGGCAACCCCACTATTGTCAGATCAATTGAGATGATACTCATGGATGAAATGGTAAAATCTACTATTTTCATAGCATTATTCAAAACCATTTTTTTTATTTGATCATTCCAATAATATTATTCAAACTCAATCATTGAAGATGTTATCTTCAATGTTGACCAATTTATATTTATTAAAAATTCCGTTTTTAACATTATATAATATTCTTACCGTATGTGAATAGTCTACAAAAATCCGAGCAAGTGTGTATCCAAGAGATTTTCAAAGGTTTGAGTCCAATTGAAAGAAGATCAAGCTGTTTACATCCGGTCCCCCACTATCGCTCCTAACAAATACACTTTTAAAATAAGTGATGTAACCTCCAAGTTAAATTTCCATAGAAGAACAACTGTTAACGAGTGTCTACACTTTCAATCCAAAACAAAATATGGATTTTCTTTTGTTTCTTTTGAAACAATTATCTCTGCAACAGCTACATCTAATGAATCAATTGGTAATTTCCCTCCTTATTGATTGTATATTATATTTAATTCTTTAAATTCACATCATTTTGACATTCTGTATTATCATTTTGTAGATATTATTGGTGAAGTTGTTTCATTAGGAAAGCTTGATTCCCGTGATGTCAGCAAATCTCTACATAGGCTGCCTTTACAAATAAGAAACTTAGAGTAACCAAAACTTTTTTTATATTATATCTTATATTTATATCTTATATTCATTACTTTACAACTTGCATGTAGAATTTTAGTATTATATATTCATTTAACCATTATTATTTTTGCAAGGTTTGCAGGTTAATGTTACGTTGTTTGGAGATATTGCATACCAGTTAATTTCTTATCTTGAAGCTCATAAAGAAGTTGGTCGTGTGATTGTCCTTTTGCAATTTGCAAGAATTAATGTCTATAACGGTAAATTTTTTATACCAATCAACTTATTTTAGTCTTTTATATTACTCATTCTATTTACTATTTTATTTTGTTTCATCAGCAACACCTTCTGTGAACAGTTATTTTGAACACACACGGATGTTCATAAATGCTAATCTTCCCGAAATTGTTACATTCACAGATAGGTAACTGTACCTTTTAATAATTCATCGTTTTGTTGTTTCTGTTCAATAATTTTATAATTTTATTTTCAAACTCCTAAATTAAAAACAGCTTGGTTGGATTAAGAGGACTTCAAAACCCTTCTGCTTCTTTGACTGTTGAAAGCTCTAAATCATATTCGGAATTTGATGACTTTTTGAATAACTACAAAGTTAAAAATGTTGTCGATTTGATAGAACCACAAGAGGTATGTGAATATTTTATCTGTATTGATGTCATATTGTTTCTATTTAACAGATAATAAAATTATAATGTTTTTTATGATCGTTTTGATTTTATTTTAGGTCGGCCAATATATCATTGTCGGGACCATTTTGGTATTCGCCAAGATATTGATTGGTATTATGATGCGTGTACAAACTGTGGAAAGAAAGTTCAAACAGAAGATTTGTTCAGTGGTGCAGATAGTGGTGATGCAAGTGTCGTTTTAAAATGCAATGGTGATAATTGTAAAAATAAGACGATCTCTTCTGTTCCAAGGTTTTTTTTACATTTAAGAAAATATCAACAGAACAACTTAACTACATTATTAACCATTAAACATATTTAATGTTTATTTATCTGGGAATTTTTTATAGGTATAAAATACCTATTCGTGTGCAAGATGATTCTGGAACAATCACTCTAACTCTCTTCGATAGAGATGCTTATAGAATCGTCAAAAAACGCGCACGTGATCTTATAGATAAAATCAAACAGGTATAACGTAATTTTAATTTTTGTTTTCTTAATTGTTGTTATTTGTTGTATTTTCTTTAGTTTAATGTGCTTTTAAACATAAATATATTATATAACACATTTATTCCAGGCTGGGGATAATCCAAGATTATATCCTTACGACCTCAAATGTTTGGAGCATAAAAAGATGGCTTTTAAGATAGATGTTAACAGTTTTAATGTATCCAATAACTACAATCGGTTTGGGATACTTGGCTATACGGTTGATAGTAACGTTATCGATGCTTTGGAAAAAAAGTTAGCTGTCGAGGTATTTATATATTATTTTTATTTGTTTTTTTAAAATTACTTTTTATGATGCATATTTTTTTAATGATCTTCACTAATAAATTGTAAATCTATATTGATTTACACCTATGTCCCACAAATTATATAAATATTTAAATTTCTGATTCAGGCAGGTAGTCCTGCAAATGCTGATGATACAGAAATCGCATCTCATGAAGTATCTCAAGAAACAAAGTCCTTAAAGGTTATATTATAAATTATCATTATTTAATTTTATATAATCTATTAAAAAGATTACTTTTTCTTAATATTTTATTACTAAACCTATTTACAACATTTTGTTTTAAGGATGCGATATCGCAAACAGGTGATAATTTGACCCCAACATTGCCCGACAAATTTGAAGCTACAAGTCCGTTCAAGTATAATTCCCCAACAACAGTAAAAAAACGAAATGTTGGAGATACCATTGATGTTGATGATTATGATAATGTGACTTCATCCACCAAGGTCCCTCGATTGAATTCTAAAGTTGATGGCAACACAGGTCTATTAATACCAAAGCTTGAAAAGTAATTTGAGATTGTCCTTTTTTAATCAACAATGTTCTTGAATTTGGATTTTTTTTGGATTCTCTTTCACAGTATTGCTCTTTGTGGTGTCTACTGTTCAAACATTGATACTTCTTGCTTTATTTTCGCTGGTATTCTATATTTTAATACGATTATCATTTTATGGTTATCATTGTAATTAGACTAATCTTCTTTTAATAAATGTGTGGCATATATGTTTGTGAATTTATGTGTAAAATAAGCAAATAAATATGTTTCTAAAGAGTCTTATCAGAAATATACTAAATATTTAACGATGGTGGTCTTGATAAGTATTAGTTCGTTTCAAGCATATACAAATAAGTATATTACATACAACTAAATTACATTACATGTATTTACAATCATATATACTAATAAGGCATATTTTTTGGTTCTGGGCAAGGATGTATTCATTTTAACCTCATAAATAATTTTTCTGATGAAATTAAAGTGATAACATAAATAAATACATACCTCTGGAATAATTTATGGGCAACATTTGGGGTTTCCATCAAATACACAACCAACTAAATGCCCACCAGTAACAACCAACATAACTCTAAAACATGTGTTGTTTCTAGGTTCATCTATCACATTCAGATTTTTTTACCAATATATTTGCAATAAAAATAAAAAAATTACATTCAATAACATTCTACTTTTCAATTTCGTGTTATAAGATATCAGTATATTTGCTTTATAAAAAAGATGTCTCAAATTTGAATACATTCAATAAATTCCTGTTCAAAATAATGATCATTTTTTAAACAATAAAATGGTATATTGGTGCATGCATTCTTGGGAATGTGCTTTGATATTATTTGAGGTATTCTATTAAAAAAGATTCTAATCAAGCTGTCAAATGAGATTTCTCATAATATTGAACACGCAACAGAATAAACAATGCATCAGATGTCAATTTTGCCCTTTGTCAATTCTTTTGATGAGCTCTAAAATTGCAATTGGCTTGTAATATGAATTGAATTCGTATGTTGCTCTTTTGGTATTTGGTATGTTATTATAACTGGCAAATACTTTATTTTTATATTTGATCATATTATACGGCTTTTTAATCGTAAAGGCCAAATTTATCTTTGTTGTTCTATATTCAATTTCGATTTTATGCATTTTTTGGCTATGTTTATATACTCAATTTGTTGTTATACATTTGTAAAATTCCGTATTTACCCTTGGTATCAAGATCAAGATCAATTTTCGTTATTTTAGTTTTCACTTATTTACCTGTTATAACATGCTTCTTTCAAACAAGTAGTTATGGCAGCAAGCATTAACGACAGTAAACTTTACTTACAATTCCATTAATACCCTTTGTCTACCGTAATATAGAATTTTAGTTTTCAGTTATTTACCTGTTATAACATGCTTCTTTCAAACAAGTAATTATAACAAAACAGTTAGCATTTCATTTTCTGTCAAATTTCTATAAAATAGCTATATAAATTTTGAATCACACTTTGCACTTTCTGTTTTATGGCTGTTTATAGCATTTAACTTTTGTTTTCTCTCAAATTTAGCATCTTACTTGGTTCCTATTTTTCTGATTTTCCTGTTTAGGTTATGTTTTATCATTCTTTAAATCCATTACTATTGCAAAATTTTACATCCATATTTTTTTAATATACAATTAACAATTTCAGAATTTTGACTTATTTTCCTAACATTTTTACCTATTTTTACTAAATTTTACAAATCCAACTTAACGGCCTCTTTCTAATAAGGATACATTTGGTATATTACTAAATTGAACTTTTCTTTCAAACAAAGGAATCATATACATATCAAATTTTATAAAAATTTTCCTATGCCTTAACGTTGTCCTTTGGAAGCATAAATAAATATAAATATAAATATAAATATAAATATAAATTAATAAATAAAACGATTGTTTGAATTTTTGACTACTGTCCTACCAAAAATTCACGTTCCTATCAATGTTAAATCTCATTTTTACCCCTGATTGGTTTCACGTACTATTACAATCTTTGATTTGATTTGATTAATAATCGAAATATCCATATTTTGTAATTTGAAATTTGAATATGGAATAACTGCTGTATACATTAAATAAATTCTGTCACATGCCCGATTAAGAGCATCTAAAAATGGTATGCATATCAATCAATTATTATGCGCATAACATACTATATCAATCATATTCCGCTTCAATTACATAATTCAATCCCTACAACCGTCTCTGCATCTCAATTCTGCTTCTTAATTTCGAATCTTCAATCAGCAACTTCAATCCTTCGGTGAGTTTCTCATGATTAAGTATCATTGCTTCTCAATGTTTGTGTTAATCGTATAATTGAAAATTCTTTTCTTCTTCTGCGACTTCAATTTTGCTTCTCATTGAATTTGTTACTCAAAGTTTCTATTTATCTTTGATTCAGAAGTTGTTTATTAATTATTTTCTATCTTAAATTCTTTATTCGATCCACTAAATTGATCATCAATGTGTATGTGTATGTGTAAAAATAACCTTGTCTTACGTATGTCTGTGTTAATCATCACAGACATTGATCACATGTACTGTTTGAATGGATTGCTATTATCTTTGTACTTCCAATTTCGATTTTCTGTATTCTTTAACTATGAAGAAGAGCAAATTGGACTAATATACCCCTACCACGGCCTGCAATTTTTTTAATTGTTATGCCCATAAGCGAAAGGAATAACAATGCCCATATATGATACTGTGTGTCAAACGCATACTATAATTTTAGAAAATATATTGAATAAAATAATACTCGAGCTAAGAAAGATACAACCTGATATAAGTTCTCAATTCAGGTTGCAAATTATGAGAGCAGATAAGTTTTGAATTTTTAAAACAAAGTGATCTGACAAGAAAAAAATTAAACCCAAACAAATATATACAGTAATAAGTTTTGACATCTAAGGAGATTTTTATATTATAACCAATCAAACAATTCAAAAACATCTATTATGTGAATTCTGATGTTGGAAAGGATTAAAACAATCATAATTTTATGTTCAAAACCAATGTTATTATGAACTCTTCTAGCAACCAACTATTATGAAGAACAATGAAACACTAGCACCAATTTAAAAATCAACTATTATGGTATCTGCAACAAAATTCGGAAACATTACATATAAAGCCATTGTACTTTAGTATTTCATGTCATACGTAAGTTCAATCGACAACATTTTTTTTTTAACTAGGTTACAACCCGTGGAAACCACGGGTAAAAGATTTATAAAAAATTATTAAACTAATAATATATAAGTTTTATTTATACAAAAACAAAAAGTTATAATAAAATATGTTTAAATAAATTAATGATGTGAATAATTACTAAAAAATAATTGCATAACCACAAACCAAAAAAAATCAAATTCATATTTTCTTCCATTTCAGATAGCAACTACTAACATGGACTCCTTCAAGACTAATAAGAAGATAAAATTAAATAATTTCTATCTGGATAATACAAAACAATTGCATTCGTACACTACATCAGTCAGTCAAATTCCAACTTCTACAAATGTTACTAACCCTGGTGATAACGGTACGTTCATTATATATTTTACAACTTTCTTTATCAATGTTTTTAATCTGAATTATAACTATTTCATGTGTGTATATTTGATTATGCAGCTTCAAATAGGAATATCTATCATGTTCAGGCTACAGAGAAAAGAAGAATAAGAAAATTATACTTGGACAATAAAAAAAAGGTTTTACCGAATGAATCCATACAACTACATCAACATCACATCTTTTTAAAATAAATGAAAATGATAATTTACTTAATTCGTTATACACTTTTCTTCTTTATTCTGTATTTAAATTTAAATTTAAATATCTAAATTCAATTTTCTCACATGCTCATTTTTTGTATTATGTCTTTTTGTATATTAATATTCATAGAATATTTTCGGGAGTTACATTATTATTTCAAATCTATCCATTTGTTATCACAATTTTTTTTTGCAGCCAAATTCAAAGGATTTGTGCATCCAAATAAAAACCTATCCGCATCTACATCAAGTGTCAATGTTTCAAAAAAATCATATTTCCAAACTTCTCCTTCAAGTCTAAATGTTAGAACTCCGTTATCTAACATTTCAAATGGTAACTCATTGATACTACCATTTTATTTTATAATATATATTTTTATTGTATCACATTTAATAATGTATACCTTCAATCTTCTTTTACCAGTCATGGATATTTCCGATAACAGTTTTCAATCACGGTTACCAAACATCAGATTGAATTCAAACGGTAACATACTTGATTGCTTATACACTTTTTTTTCTCTCTTTTAAATCTGTAAAATAAAAATTCTGTCATCCATAGTTTTTTATATTATCTATTTATCATTATTAGTATTCATATACTATTTAAAAACTTACAACATTATTTAATATTTAACCATTTCTAATAAGATATTATTTCCAATCAAATTAAAAGGAGTTGTCGATCGAAATAAAAGTGTATCCACATCTACATCAACCGCAAATAGGTCAAAACAAACAATGTTACGTACTCCTCCTTCACATTTAAATGTTAGCAGTCCGTTATCTAACATTTCCAACGGTAACTCATTTATTTTTCCATATTTTTTTTATAATATATGTTCTTATTGTATCATATTTGATAATCTACATTTCAATCTTCTTTTCTCAGTCATCGATATTCCCAATAACAGTTTTCAGACACCATTACCAAACATGAAATTGGATTCAAACGGTAACGTACTTCATTGCTTTTAAACTTTTTAAGTTTTTTTAAATATATGTAATAAAATTTATTACATCATCGTCTTTTTATATCATCTCTTTATCAATATTCATATTCATATAATATTAAAATAATTATTAAACAATTTTACATTTCTGATAACCATTTTTTTTATATGAATCCAAAGGAGTTGTACATCGAAATAAAAGCACATACCGATCAAAAACAAGTTCAAGTACATCAAAACA